GATGCGTAGGTCTGTATTAAAATCGTACGATAGGTAACTTGAAATGCAGCGCTTGTAGGCATAGTTTAAAAGATAAAAGGATAAAGCAGGGAGGCTAGTAGGAGAGGTAATATTTTGCACTCATGATTCTAAATTACCAAAGCAGTTTTTCTGTTAGGATATCCTTACATATGTGGATTTCTGTGTGCTCTGTTTCAGTAGTACATTAATACTCATACTCTATCTGTATATCCTTTTGTTGAAATGCTTTCAAATTTTTAATAAGAATACTTCAGCAGTTTCATACCTTCCCCTATAGAACTACATACAGTACAGATTTTATATTAGCATAACAAAGATGACTCACTCCTTTTCAAAATGGACCTCGCATTGCAGCACATGGCAAATATATCCTTACAACCAGATATCTTCTAGTCCTCAGTTTGAAGAGCTCTATTTTACAACAAACCAATGTGTTTGCATTTGGGCCCTTAGGCTCTCAGCAGACATTTGTAGAATGAGAGAAAACAAATGTCTGAGTTATACAAAGTTAATAAAAACAGATGCTACTAAGACTTCACTGTATCCTTATATTCCATGTGTCAACATAAGCACTGGTTTATGTTGTTTCGAGAAGAAGGGAAAGGAAGGAGCTAGTATTAGGATGAAATGGAAAAAGGTATAACTGCGCATAAAATGTAGAAGGTCTATTTATGAAAAAGATAATAAATTAATTCTTCGTATTAAAAACACTTTGTGTAGAGAGATCTTCATTCCAAGAAGCACCATGAAGAAACCCATCAATCCTTCACAGACATAGTGTCTGTGTTCACATATATGGGGACTTCACTTGCATTATCTGTCAAAGTAAAACTGGCTCATTAATGATGAGTACTCAAGGTAAAAGTGAGAAACAAGAGTTATGCCTTAATATTATCATACAAGTAGTTGGACATTCCCTGTTAGCATGGTTAGTTCAGGCAATGGGCAGTATGCTTTTCTGTTTCTGAGTGTATAGCAGGAAATGTGACATAAATTTGGAATGACTTTCAATTTTGAGCTTTTTACTCAAAGGAGGAAAAAGGAACAAGGTAGGCAACTTCTGTCCTTCCTTCATTATACCTTTACAGTCATTCTTTGTTATGTGAAATAACTCTGCCTTTCTGTCTTCTCTCTTATCTCCTTCTTCTTCTGACTATATATGAAGCATAGCATACATATGAAACACAGCAGCACGACAGACAGCAGGCTAAGTAAGCACTCCAGTAAAGCTGGAGTAAGCAGCTAGCTTCTCGTTTGAGGTTTTTGGTTTAACAAACACATTTTACCTGGTCTTGGGGATATGCATTTCTGGCAGTGTTTCACCATGGCTAGCTTCTATTCAAAGTCCAATGAGGACTTAAATATGAACAAATGAAGCATCTTTTATTTTATCCTGAAAATCTCCAATGGAAATGAGGTTTTATTTTTCTAAAAGCACAAATTGAAATATAATTAAAATGATGATATTGTTGCAAAATTGTTGGAGATTCATTCAATGATAGGAAGACTTTTTCTTCTCTTTTTATCTGTTATCTCTGTGGCTAACATGCTTGTCCAGTCTAAATGTTTGACTTCAATTCTTTTTTCTGCTTGAAGAGATTAAAAGCTGTTTCTCATTTTAGCCTAACTACCAGGGTGTGGTCAGCTCTGAAAAAGCACAAGCTTAGCCCTTCCCATTTTGAGATGTTCTATTGTAAAGTAGGTTTGGTTACTAAGGCACCTATTTTCAACTTACTGAAAAAATGAACATCAAGAACATTGTAAATCTTTGCTTGTGAAGTAACTGTTTTATTCTCATGTGGTTTTTAGCTAGTTTGAGTTAGTGTTATCACATTTCTGCTGCAGGGTTTCCCTCCATTTTCCCTCCCCCAGACTGATCTGAGTTCAGCTACTCTTGTGAGGGCACCTGTGATTGGTGACAGCTGGAGAAGGGGCTGTACACATTATTTTCTAAAATATCCAGATTTGTCGGCAGTCTGATAAGTAAACTGATCTTGCTCACCACATTGGCTATATATTCATTAATGCTAATACTGTGAGGTTTGGGAATACATGAAAGAAAGAGTCACTTTTGGTCAGCACATCTTACCGAAGTTTGAACTGGCAGTGCACCACATCCTGTGAGTGTGGCAATGGCTCACATCATGAAGTTTCTTATTTCTTAGTAGAAGAGTCTTTAATTGCATGGATCAAGCCTGCAGAACCGGACTCAAATTTATTAATATATTTGGGAAAACTAATGTAATATTCTTACGTAAATTTGAATTTTATTAAAAAGTTATAATTAAGTACTTCTTGTAACTTTTCCTACCTTAATCCCCTTCCTAATTCTATGCTTTGCCTTAAATAATGTGCATAGCATGATTCTTTGTTTTTTCTCTTTTGCTTGCCATGTTCACCATGTTAAACGTGGTTTTGTTTTTTTTTTGGTTGGTTGGTTTTTTAATTGAGAATTTGACATAGGATTTTTGTGACTTGTAGCAATAGAAGTTTATTGCTCTAGAACACATAGGTTTAGGAAAGGTTTCTAAAAATCATATTAATTTCTTACACTTGGAAGGATTAACCCAGAAAAGTTTACTCTTGTATTTAAAGGCTATGGTTCTGAACTCATAAAGCACAAACTCGTCCTCAACTTTAGTATCTCTCTAGAAATCGAAATATACTGGCTGCAAATATACTGAATATTTAATATTTCCAAAGAAAAAATTCCAGGTATGGTAAGCAAAGAACTAAGACATCTGCTTGGTCATTATAAATTGCTCTGGTGTGTGGTTCTTGGTTGTCTTAGCCACATGGAATCACAGCAGCTGTAGTTACAGGATTGTTACTGGGGTCAAGGTATGAAGGAATCCAAAAAACTAGCTAGAGAAAGCTGCAGCTCCCTTTAAACCAGTATTTCCACCAGTGTTAACTGATACAGTAGAAGCAATTATAATGCGCCTTTCCCACCGACAGACTGATTCCTCTCCTGAGGAATTCACTGTGAAGAAATTGCTCTGCAATGGCAAACTGAGCTCATCTTTTTATATTAACTTCTCTGAATTAATTGCTTGTTATGCATTTCCTCTCCAGTATACATCTTTTTTTCCAGTTAAATAATACCGTTCAAATGTCAGCCTGCCTCTTGCTTTATGTTGGTAGTGGCCTCATTATTCACTTAATATCAATCACCTGTGTGCGACTGAGGTATTTTTGTCATTTAAATTTTGCGTTCAACCTAATGAAATCATTGCCTATGTCTTACTGAAATGAAACAGCACTGGACTCACGAGATCAGTAGCCTTTACTAGACCCTAGTGATTAGTCCACTTATGCAGTACAATGAGCAAAGGCTTGCTGTCTGGGGCTTCGGGATCCCAGGTGGGTGGAAGACTTTTTGGAAGGAGAGTTCTCATACCTGCATGTGTGGTCTTACTGATCCAGTTTTATGCAAAATCGTTCTGCAGATAATAGGAAACAATTTAACACCCAAACAGTTCCTCTGGAAGAGAGAAAGGAATGTATTTTGATATGGCGAGTAGCCATGCCAGTGTCTTAAAATGGTGAAGCAAAGCAGCAATAGTTGAGGCTGATGTAGTTCCATTTTTTATTTTATTTTCAGGGTATAAAAATTGCTATTACAAACCTGAATAGGTGAAATCTCACTAAGAAAAAAAGACGAATAAGGTAAGATAAAAATTGCAAATATAAGTGAAAACATAACTGCATATAGCTGAAAATTAAAAGAATTTTTAAACTAGTGACAGAAGGTGAGAGAAGAATTTTGAACAGCTTTATTTCCTTTCAATTATTTATCAGAAAAGAAGAAGAAATACATAACAAGCAGAGAGAACTTTAGAGAACCTCTCACATTTTGATCTTCAGGTCATATACCATGACCCAGAAAAACACGAGAAATAATAGTTTAATCTGCTTGAGTGAGCTCCATAATACAGAGATATCTGCTTAATGTTTTAATCATGATGAAGGTGATGCTTGCATACACTTGCCCTTATAGCAAGATTTGACAGTCATCAGTCTTTGTAATGGACCCCTCTGGAGAAGCCCAAGGCTTGTACTACCACTCCTTCCACAGTGCAACCCAGACCAATGTTTTATTTAATTTCTAGACATGCCAATCAAGCACAATTAGTAAAAAAAAAGTCTCTATGTCCTCTTCTATTCTTTCTGTCTCGTAAGACTACAGAGCCATAGTTTAAATCAGTCTAGAATGGTTTGTTCTGGTGATGAAGCCTTAATCAAGATAGGTAAATAGCAGATGTATCTTGGTTCTGGAAATTGGGTCTAAGCTAGATGTTTCATTTTGTTTTATTTTGACAATCCGACTCTGGCCCGCCACCTGAGCATGCTGCCTTAGGACGTTAGCTTGTTAAGGTATCTAAGCCGTTCAAACTTATTTTCAAACACGACATCATGAGATGCATGTTGTCCTGTGCCCCTCCCGTTCCCCGCCCGTGTCGTGTCTCCCCCCAGTCTTCTCCGTGTTGAACTAAAGGCTTAGAGATGCCATTTCTGCACAGCTCTCTGAGGGGAGGGGGAGAATCCAGGCGACCACTCCAGTTTTTAATGCGAAGGGAAATAAACCTGCAAACAATTTCTTTGCCTCTCCTCGCCCAGGGATTCCACGCGCGATTTCTATACTTGTAACATACTGATTTTTAAGGCTATTTCACGGGAAAAGCAGAAACGGGAGAGAAGGAAAGGGGGCGAATCCCCTGGTGTGAAAGCTCTGACCACACGGCTTTTTCCCACGTAGTCGTTTCCATTCGAGCGGCCGCCGCGGGCACAGCCGCCCCTCCCGCCACGGCAAGGCCGGGGGCAGTGGAAGGGCGCGGGGGCGGCTCCCCCCGCAGTACCCGGGGGTCTCCGCATGCCGCGGCCCCGCTGCCGGCAGAGGCTGGGCGGGGCGGCCCGGAGCGGTGACATCATGGGGCGGTGCGGGGGGCGGTGCGGGCGGCGGGGCGGGGGTGGTGGCAGTATCGTGCCAGGCGGGAGACGGGATGGGGCGCAGGGTGCATCTCGGCGGGAGTCCGACCCGCCGCCCCGGCAGCGGGCTCCCCGCGGCACCTCGTCCCGCCGCTGGTGAGTGCGCGGGGGGCGGCGCGGCGCGGCTCGGCCCGGACCGGTGGCGGCGGGGCACCTGCTGGGTCCCGGGTACGAGTGCTGCCTTTTTTTTTTTTTTTTTGGGTGGGGGGAGTATGGGTAAGGCTTGGTTGGTTGGTTGGTTTGTTGGTATTTTTTTGTTTTGTTGTGGTTTTGAGGTCTTTTTTTGGGAGGAGCGCATCAGGGCACCCGCGCGGGCTGTTGGTGCTGCCTCTGGTCCTTCTCCGGGGGGTGCCGGGTGCGGGAGGCACAGGGCAAGGATTCCCGGCAGATCCTGGGCTGGTTTGACCGCCCCGTCGGGCCGGCGCTTGGGCAGCAGCCGCCCTGGCTACTCCGGCCCCTCGGGGGCGATTTCACACCCTCCTCCGCTTGACACCACCGTAAATGCCGCTTTAATGATCAGGGCTTTCTGAGTAAGTGTGGCATGTCGCGACAAGAGGGAACGCGGGTTTGAAAATCCTGGCGTGGGAACGCGGGCGAACCTGGCCTTTGTTTGTAATCAGTTTTTAAGTGATTTCTTTTTTAGTTGATGCTCTGTATGTGGGAGGGGGGGGATAGAAGTACCAGCCTTACAAAAGGGGACACTAAAAGCTGTGGAAATGTGGACGAAGTTGTTCAGGTTCTCAGTGTTGTCAGCATGTCTTGCAGAGACTCACTGGCCAAGGTTTCTCTTTATCTGGCAGTTCTCACTTTTCCTCTTCTTGAGAACACAAGCATAAAATGCCTTCTCTCACTTCTTCCCCGTCTTCTTTTTCCTTGTGTTTGCAAGTTGTGGCCAGGAACGAATTGAAAGAAGGGAAACACAACCTTATACTGTAATGTGATTTCAATTGTCTTCATTGCCTAACAGAAAGGTAATGAACTGCCTTGTATTTCTCCTTCTCTCTTTGAAATACTGCGAAGTTCAATTATCTTACTGTGTATGGATGGAGATCTGTAAATCTGATAGTTATTGTAGTGTGTTTTCTTAAATCCCTGTGACGGAGCATGGATTGAAATAAATAGACAAACTGATGTACTACTTGAGAGAATGAGCTTATCTTGCAGAACATTTCCTTTTTAATACTGAACAGCTAATATGTACTCCACCACAGCACTTCATTAAAAAGTTGGGAACTAATTAGCTGTTTCTTACAGCTAGAGTTCCCGATTTTAATTAGAGTTCCTGTCTTCAAGTTTAAACTGATTAAAGCAATGCCAATGCCACTCTGGTTATTTTCAGTGTTTGTTTAAAAGAAAGGAAAGGAAAAAAATTAGTAGTTTTAAGCTCTTTAAACTTCTTGTTGAAAAACAAACCCTTCTGTTTGGGGTTCTGTCCCTAAGTCTCCTGGGTGGGATGTGAGGAGATGCATACTGTGTGTATATTGTGTTTGAGAGAGGAAGGAAACTAATTAATGGCAATGAAACTCACAGGTTTGCTGTTCACTGGGTATTGGTTTCAATGGGAAAAGGACAATTTAAAAAGTAAAACTGAAATGTGTTAAATAACAAAGATAGCAGTGGAATCTATGAGAAGTCAGGTGAATTTCCCAATGTTCAAACCACATACAAGGGTGTGTTGGAGGCAGTGATAGCAGTTCCTAATAATGGTAAAAACTCTGCTAGTGTCTAATATTACTGACCAAAAGTCTCATGCAAACTTACATAAAGTTGTCATGATGGTTAAATATTGCTCTCCATTATGTCCTGTTTTAATCTCATGTGCGATGTACTTAGTTTGTTCTGCTGAAGAACAGTTACTTGCAATAGACTTTAAAAAAAAAAGCAATGTATGGCTCATTTGTGGGTACCCTGCTATATTTTCAACAACTTCTTTACCCTTTTTAGGGGTTTGAGAGATTTGCAAATTGATAATTCTCAAGGGAGTTATTATACTGATTAGACTTGCATAGTGTCTTTATTCTGAATATTTCACAGCACTCTTGACACTCTTTATGGGAATAGTTTAATGTTTTTCTCACATTGCTAAGTACTTATGACAAAATTTAGCAGTGGGTGCTTTAAAATACAAAAAAATGAAAATTTTTCATGTGGAAATGCACATGAAATGAATGACACCCTTTTAAGGTGCATGGATGGGACAAACCAGCGGTTCTTGAAACTCTCCTATAGGCTGGCAGCTGACCTTGACCTTAACTCTATGAACTTGTTTCCTCTCAATGTTTGATCCAGGCAGCACTGTAATAATCCTTGTGTTATAACAGAAAGTTCTCTTGACTTTTCTGACATTTAAAGGATATTATTATTGTTATTTCATGAGGACTGAATTCTGTGCAAAGAAAGCTTGTTTGCAAAACCCTTGGTGTTAATTTGTTGTTGCTAGATATTTGCATTTAAGGTGCTTGAATTCTCTGGTGTTAGGTGTGCTGCCAATAAAACCTGTATAGTCAAATCAAAGTAATTGTGACTAATTTTCCTGTATGTTTGTTAACTACCGCACACATCAACTAATATGACGTCAGCATGGATAATGAGATAAACCGTCTTCTGTATTTTTATATTTGATGTGGGATTTCTATATGTGACTGCTGCAATTTTTAATATCTTCAGAATAGCTGTCAGACAACTGGCTTTTCTCTTGTGGAGGAAGCAAGTTCATGTACTAGGAACACCTATGTGCAAAAATGAAAGCATTTATTAGATATTTAGAAGACTTTATTAGCTAAACAGTCCTGGGAAACCTCACATATGATCTAAGAGGAAAATGCCCAAAATATGTATTATACACTTCCATTGCAAAGGGCATGGAATCATAGATTGGTTTGGGTTGAAAGGGATCTTAAAGATCATCTGGTTCCAACCCCCCTGCTGTAGTCAGGGACATAATGGGAATTGGAAGTTTGGGAAGCATGGGAACTGGAAATTTCTCTGTAGTCTGTGGAGTCTTATTGAAATGGTCCAGCTAGGAGTTGATACATCTACTAGTAGTCTTTTCCCAAGACTACATCTCCTTGTAGTTTTGGTCCTTTTCTCTTTTTCAATTCTCTCTGGTTTCTGCTGCCACAGCCATGCTGCTGCCAGATACCTCTTTAATGTTTTTGCTGACTGTTTGCATTGCTGCCTTACCCCTTCTAGGTTTTCAATTTTGATTTTGTTTGGGGTTTTTGTAAGTATATTATACATTCCTTAATCAGGTAGATTTGCTAATTGTGTCCCTGCCTATGGCATGGGGGTTGGTACTAGATGGTCCATGTCCCTTCCAACCTAAATCATTCTATGATTCTATGTTGCATACAAGACAATGAAATTATATGCCTTGACTTGAAAAAAAATTAGGATCTTTAAAGAGGAACATCTTGTTATGTGAAATTAAATCCAGAATAGCCTCATCATCTTAATAGCAGTGCAAATTCAAATAATGACTTAATAGAGGAACTTAAACCTTTAATATGATGAGAATAACCTTGTTAATTATCAGGGTTAATGAGGTGCATTCCTTTAAAGTGAAGAGAATGATCACAGGCCAGACAAAAGGATATCTCTTCTGCTGGATAGTATTTTTCCAATTCATTGGTAAATAAAAAGGGGATTTTGTTCCAGGAAGGTGTGTGATAATACAGCAATTTATATCAGATTCTTCAGGAAAGAGAAATAAACACCTATTTAAAAAGTAGACTTTATGATGCAGTTAAAGCAATTTGAAATGGTAAAATAACTTTACCTGGTTTTGTGTATCCATTTTGATGGCTGCACTACTTCATCAGGTCTTTGATAGGCTGGAGAGTTGGGCAGAGAGAAACATAATGAAGTTCAGCAAAGGCAAATGCAGGGTCCTGCACCTGTGGAGGAATAACCTCCAGAACCAGTACAGGTTGGGGGCTAGAGAGCAGCTCTGAGGAGAAGGACCTGAAGGTCTTGATGGATGACAAGTTGACCATGAGCTGGCAGCATGTCCTTGTGGCCAGGAGGGCCAGTGATATCCTGGAGTGCATCAGGAAGAGTGTGGCCAGCAGGTTGAGGGAGGTTATCCTCCCCTCTGGAGAAGGTCCAGCAGAGGGCTGCCAAAATGATTAGTGGTCTGGAGCATCTCTCTTATGAGGAGAGGCTGTGTGAGCTGGGCCTGTTTAGAGAAGACTAAGAAGGGATCTCATCAATACATGTAAAGATCTCAAAGGCAGGTGCCAAGAGGGTGGTGCTAGACTCTTTTCAGTGGTGCCCAGTGACAGGACGAGGAGTAATGGCCATTAACTAAAACACAGGAAGTTCTAACTCAACGTGAGGAAGAGCTTCTTTGCATTGAGGGTGGCAGAGCACTGGAACAGGCTGCCTAGGGAGGTTGTGATTTCCATCTCTGGAGACATTCAAAACCCACCTGGATGTGTTCCTGTGTAAACCTGCTCTAGGTGACCCTGCCTTGGCAGAGGGGTTGGACTAGATGATCTCTTCAGGTCCCTTTCAATCTTAACTATTCTGTGATTCTGTGAAGTAATAGCTTGATAGTTTGATAAAGGGTGAAACAATTGTTAAAACTTCATCTTAGTCATTGTGTGCATTTTTGCAAAGGCAGACTGCATGACCTCAAGTTGTCTTAATTTCACTTATAGCAGTGTGGTTGTGCTTGTAGACAAAAACCAGTAGTCCAAACTCTCAGACATAAGTAGAATAAAATATGTAACTTAAGTCTGGAAGATTAAGAAGGGTACAATGTACTGGGAATGTTTCTACAATTGCCCACCAGCAACTGAAATCAAAGTTTGGTCTATTTGTACCTCCAAATTGACTTTCAGGCAGACAAAATCAGATGTCAAACATGATTTCTGCAAAAAGGGTATGTTAAATTTGACTGTATTAAAATAGTGGGCAACGTGGGACATGGTGGAAAATGTGGGGTACAAAATACTTCATAACACTGAACAGTTTAAGTACTTCTACAGGGGAGTTTGACAATCTAAAACCAGAGAACAACATTCTTCCTTTTCTGTTTATCTCTATTGCAAATTAAGGTCTTTAAATAAGGTAGTGGTCATTGACTGATTTCC